TGTTTTTTTTTTTTTTTCTAATCCAAATTAAATATTCCATCTTAATTTCCACCTCCCATACATATATTTAGAATCGTAGATCTTCTCTAGATTTTTGATCAGTCAAGCGATCAACGGTATCAGATCTTGGAACCGTTATATTTAGCAACCGACATATATATTTCTAACTTGAATTTAAAATATCTCTCACAATGACTGATTTTGAATTAAGAAAGAGTATAAAACGCCGGGCTTAATCCAAACTATTCAAAATTAAATGTTCCAATTTTAATTCCACCTCCCAAACATATGTATATATATATATATATATATATATATATATTTAGAATCTAGTAGATNGATTTTCTAGAAAATAGAATCTGGATATTTTTTCGATCAGAGAGGCCACGAACGGTACCCACAAAGTTACGTTCTTTTCAACATTTTCAAGAATCTCGGACACCCGCCGAGATTGCTCGCGGCGCAGTACAATTCCCTCCGTACAGGCCACGAAACCACGCGGCCGAACTCGCCTCGTCGATTCCTCGCCTCGTTGGCGGAGGGCGACGCGCGAGCAGAGCGCGCAGCACCGTACTTTCACCGACCGTGACTTCCACCGCGCGGCGTTCCATTCGACGAGTTTCACAGATAAACGGGGTAATAGAGACGGTGTCGCCCCGTAGGTTACTAGAACCCGCTTGCCCGTGGCCGAACCAAAGTCACACACGCACACTCGTTCGCCAGCGTCCGAGGCGCAATAACGCGCCTCGTAATCGTTAAAAAAAGTTCGCGCGCTCACGAACGAAATTTCGGGAACGAAATAATAACACTCGAGTCGAATCGTAAAAATTTATTATCTCGGTTTCTCGATGGGCCATAAATTGAATATCCTCAAAATTCGGGGAAAAATGTACATGTGTATATATATATATATAAACTTTACTGGAACGTTTAAAAGATGTCACCTATTTATGGAACGCAAGGGAGATCGGGTTACTGATGGAATTTAGGACAACGGGGGAATCGTATTACCCTTTAGATATTCAATATTTTTAGGTATCTCTACCGAGAACAAATGCGTAACACGTGCGAACGTGTTAGAGAAATCGCCCTTGCCGTACGTAACGAAACCAGAATTTTCGTAACAACAACAACAACAACAATAATAATAATAATAGATCACCGCACATCGATACAACAATAACACCTCGAATCGAAATTTCTGACGGGAATTTTGAACGTCTTGTCGGCAGGTAGGGACGAGTTGTCGCAGCCTGGCTCTTTGAACGGGTATGGGAGCAGCGGAGGCGGAGGTGGAGGAGGCGGAGGAGGCGGAGGAGGAGGCGGCGGAGGCGGCGGGGGTGGAGGCGGAGGCAGCGACGGCTGCGACGCAAGGAAGAAGAAGGGACCGACCCCGAGGCAGCAGGAGGAGTTGTGCCTCGTGTGCGGCGATCGCGCCTCCGGCTACCACTACAACGCGCTCACCTGCGAGGGGTGCAAGGGCTTCTTCAGGCGAAGCATCACCAAGAACGCGGTCTATCAGTGTAAATACGGGAACAATTGCGAGATCGACATGTACATGAGGCGCAAGTGTCAGGAATGCAGGCTGAAGAAGTGTTTGACCGTCGGGATGAGGCCTGAATGCGTGGTCCCTGAGTACCAGTGCGCCGTGAAGCGCAAAGAGAAGAAGGCGCAAAAGGTATCTCCTCGGGTGGAGCGGGGAATTATTACACTTTTTCCCGATCGAGATTGCAGATGGTTTATAGATGGAGAGGGGACGTTTGTTGTGTTCCAGGAGAAGGACAAGCCGAACAGTACAACGATGAACGGCTCCCCGGGTAGTGGGATACGGAGCGATCAGATGGGGGTGAAGATCGAACCGGCCGAGGCAGAGTCGTTGTCCACGTCCGGGAGCAGTGGAATTTTGACGCCGGTCAGCCCTTACGGCTACGTGAAACCGATCAGCCCCGAGCAGGAAGAGTTGATACACAGGCTCGTCTACTTCCAGAACGAGTACGAGCAGCCCAGTGAGGAAGATCTCAAGAGGATCACGGTAAGTTTGTTTTTATTATTATCGTTGTTCCGATCACGCGCGTTTCATCGATCGATAAATTGATTTATAAATTGATTTAGAATCAGCCCTCGGAAGGAGAGGATATCAGTGATTACAAGTTCAGGCACATCACCGAGATCACGATCCTGACGGTTCAATTGATCGTCGAGTTCTCGAAGAGATTACCAGGCTTCGACGAGCTGATGCGAGAGGATCAGATCGCTCTGCTCAAGGCCTGCTCCAGCGAGGTGATGATGCTTCGAATGGCGAGGAAGTACGACGTGCAGACGGACAGCATAATATTCGCCAATAATCAGCCTTACACAAAGGACAGCTATACCGTGGCAGGTATGGGCGAGACGATCGAGGATTTGCTACATTTCTGCCGGCAGATGTACGCCATGAAAGTGAACAACGCCGAGTACGCGTTGTTGACCGCCATTGTCATATTCTCAGGTACGTGAATAAACCTCTATTCGAAAGACACAGGAACATCACCGAATTTTCGAAAACGCGTCGTCCCAATCTCAAAAATATCATTCAACGACCCTATCCTCGAGTCCAATAATAATCATCCGACCAACTAACCGAACTATCGACCTATTATCAATTTTGGATTATCAACTGTCTGTACTTCAGTTCCTGGCAGCCCCTCCCCCAGCCTACAAAGAAAAGATTCCCCTGTTTTCTTGCAGAGAGGCCGAACCTGCTCGAAGGCTGGAAGGTGGAGAAGATTCAGGAGATCTATCTGGAGGCGTTGAGGGCATACGTGGACAACAGGCGCAGACCGAATCCGGGCACGGTGTTCGCGAGGTTGCTGTCCGTGTTGACCGAGCTGCGGACCCTCGGCAACCAGAACAGCGAGATGTGCTTCAGTCTCAAGTTCAAGAATAAAAAGCTGCCAGTTTTCCTCGCCGAGATCTGGGACGTAACACCCTAGTTCCCCCGTGGCCGATCCCCGTCGGCTAACAGTGTTGTTTCATCGCGAGTCCGCGTGGCGTCCAGAAGAACGTTGAGGCTGACCGAAGGGAGCAGCGTAATCATCGGCAGGCGCGATACGCGGACGTGGAGAACCTCCTGTACTAGTGCACCACCATGCCACTGCCTACCGAGTAGTAGACCGGTGTCGTCTACTAGTAGCAGCATCGAATTCCTATTCTATCAGAATTCGCTTCTTTCACCTTCCCTCGGCTCCGCACCGGCTTCGTGAAGCTGTGCTAAAAAAAACGGGGGCTGCGGCAGCTTTCGGCAGTGCTTTAGTCGTGGAGCTTAGACGCCGGAGGATGACGATGATATATATATATTTACATATGTAAACGACGAAGTCAGGAGGAACACCGAAGAAGAAGAAGAAGAAGAAGAAGGCAGTGGCGAGGCACCCAGGCTGTGATACGTAGAGACAGTACAGAGACTGTAATAAGGAGCTACCTACCAGTTATGTTATTACTATATTCTCTACCTGGCTACCCCCCTCCCCCGGAATCGATAAATGTAAATGTATAATGTGTAATGTATAAGGTAGCGGCTACTACAAGGCGGGGCGCGTTGTTAGTATGAATGCAAAACCGAGAGGAGTTGATGCGGGACAGAATGCGAGAGAGGGAGTGCGTGTTTAATTGTATGCGTGCGCAATTTTCGGCTGAGTTGTGACTGAAAAAGTTATTACGATAATCATATTATGATTATAAATGATAACGATGATAGAACCGACAGGATCGATCGCACTCTTCTGTAAATGCTGAATTGCTGAAAAGCAAGGGTATACAGAGAAGGAAGGAAGGAAGGAAGGGAAGGGAAGGGAAGGGAAGGAAGGCCGGTTGAGCTGTTGAGCAGCGATCTGGCCTGGCCGATATCGAGAGTGCGAAAGTATCGAGGAAACGAAAAAAAAACAAAAAAAAAAAAATGATGATGATAAATGATGATGATTAAAAAAAAAAATAATAACAAACGATACGATTATACATAATGATACCATAGAGTCTATATCACAACACATAGCATAATAATATATTGCTAGCATGTACATTGTTTATACGAGGAAAGACGTAATTGAAGAGGTGGGTTTAAGAGATGCGCCGATTGATCATGAAGATGACAGGTGGAAATGATGGAAGGGAAAATACGTGGAATACGGTTTTTCCGCGACGAATAAGATGTCGAAGACGAGGCTTGGCATTTGCGCGCGTCCGAGTTTTCTTTTTTCGCGAAAATGGCAATGAAAAGGGGTTGCGCGATGGGATGGAAAGAGAGAGAGAGGGAGAGAGAGAGAAAGAGAAAGAGAGAGAGAGAACAAAAGCGTGGTAGCAATTTAGGACAATGTTAAGTAAAGTAAAAGTAAGCGAGGCTAGTTGGTAGTAGGTCGTAGTAAGTCAGTGAAGCTAGGCTAGGTGACCGAGTTCAAGTGCAAAGCCTTGTGCCTTCAGCAGCGGACATCGGCTCACCGACAAACGAAACCATAAAATTTAACCGTCCGTTTTAATTTTTTAATAAAAAAAAAAAGATGAAAAAATCAACAAAATCGAGCAAAATATTGTAAATCTATGTCAGAGTGAGAGAACGAGGGAGAGAGAGAGAGAGAGAGAGAGAGTGAAAGAAAGAGAGAGAGAGAGAGAGAGAGAGAAAATAGATCGAAAGAGAGGGAGTGAATGTATGAAAATATTAAATTCGCGTTTTGAGAGAGCAAGAGAGAGAAGCAGAAATGAGATACATGGATGCATGAGAGTACTGGAGTGAGTGAGAAAAAACGTACCGAGCGAAGAGGAGAAAGAACGGGAATGAATTTCATGGAAAGTTGATAGAAATTATTGAGGAAATTAAAAAAAAAAAAAGGGAACGAGGAAGAAACAAGAACAGAGTCGCGCCAGATCTCAGCTGAAGATGAGAATTATAGAAGCGGGCTTCGAAAAGTTGAAGTTGATTTTCGACCGATATTTTGGACATGCAATGCTAGCATTAAAAAAAAAAAAATAATAATAATAATAATATTAAAACGACACACTCAATTGTTGAGAAGAAGCGAAAGATGGAAAACTGGCGTTAAAAATATTTTGATCAGCAGACAGGCGTGCAAAGTAGTAATAGTTCTGCGATCGACTTTCAGCTGACTCTCAAACACGAACCGAGAATGACAGACACACACGTATATACACGTATATACACACCACGTACACGCGCGCATGCACACCCAAATACATAATAAAGAGAGAGAGAGAGAGTATACTCGCAGGAGAATTGAAGAAAAATAAGAAGGAAAGATCGGAGACATACCTGTGCATATACACATATACGTGAGCCACACTGTACACTAAGATTCTTAATGTTGTAACACTGTAACTCTATGCTATTAACTGATCATAATGCAGTTGTATTCCATAGTAAGTTAAACGAGCAAATTTTAAAAAAGGTAAAAAAAAAAAAAAAGAAAAAAACGTAAATTCTTGTAACGTGGCGGATTAACACGAGGCGGAGTTTTTCTGAAAAAGGGGGGGAAAAAAAAAAAGAAAAAAAAAAAAAAAAAGA